ACCCCCCCCCCCCCCCTAGGTGCCTCGCGCATTCACCGCTCGCAAAACTAGATTGTACAACTGAAAACTTTGACTAACGTACGAAAAATCCTGGATCCGCCCCTGTACGAGGTTGCCTGTAGTTTCCAAGATATCGACGTTTCCTCCTCAGTTGCATGTGAAGAGTGCTTCGCCAAATACTGCGGGTTTCTTCGTGTGCTACCGTTTCCTCTTGCGCTAACACCAGACCACTGGATACTAGAGTTTGGCTAACTGAGAAAGGTTTGCAGTGTGAAATAGTTCGCGGAGTTCCTCCAGCAGTTACGCATGACCAATGAGGTATAACCCTTACTGGACCACTGCAGAGAACAGTAAATTTGGACAGTTTAATTTAGGTTTTCTCCTCTGCTGTCACATTGGACTAGTTAATACTAGGAATGACTCCGTGAACTCCATAAAAACATGGAGTTCACCTGAATGACTGCATGCCATAATAAACCACTATACCTATGCCCTTTTTGATAAAGTTCATTAATTTTGTTTTTTTAGGTTTGTGTTTAATTCAAATAGTATTGCGAGAACAAGGAACATTGTCGGGCAAGAGGAAGGCAGGTTTGGTCGTTGGTGCGGTGTATGTTGTAATAGGGACTTTCTTATTTGCACAAACTGTGACACAGGCGTTAATGGACGATATAGAAAATACATCTTAATTAATTGACAATCAATACATTTATTTTTAATGATGGTCTCAATGAAGGAATTGAGGAAATTTAATACCCTATGAATTATTATAGAGTGATTAAATTTGGATAGCAATTATTTTACCCCAATGGATAAAGTCCAGTCGGACCCAGAGAGTTCGACCCAATATCCACATATCAACATTTGGTGACGAGATATACAAACGCTCGCTTAGAGAGGACTTGGAAATGCGCTTTTGATTTTGTACGCCAGTCAACCACATGAACAAAATGTACATTTTATGGAAATTTAAAATATATAAAAATGTTTTGCAATACTAAAATTTTGTAAATATGCACAGGTAATGCCGTAATGGCTAAAATTAAGAGTTGAACGAGAGGGTGGTCTTAAGATAATTCAAAATTTGAACTCAGACTGTTAGTCTCAGAGGGCTAAAGTTTGTTTTAGTGTAGGATTACAGTTGATTTCACGAAACTTTGGCCGCTCCGAAACTTCCGAATTTGATTGGCCGGCTTTCAATCAACTTGATGAGCTCGTGTTTATTGTTCCCAAATTCCCAACCAACCTCGCAAAGTTTCGTGAAATCAACTGTAATGTTAGGGTTGACATTCAGGCTCATTTCAGGTAAGGTTTAGGAATGTTATAAGTACATGGTTGCTGATTCCGGTCTGTTGTGTTTTATTACATGTAAAACTAAAAAGATCTTACAGTAAAAAATATCTTGAAATCTCGCAAGAGAATCCCAGTGTACCACTATCCAGTTTTCTTTCCTTCTATAAAGATCAGTGCACCTGCATCAAATTGCATCCTGTTCGCAGGCTACTTTAGAATACAGAATTAGAATTTGCGATCGTACCATTTGCAAATACAGAAATACAGTACTGGTATTCCTTGAACAAAAATGAGGAAATAATTAGCTATTTCTTTTTTAAACCATCAAACACCATAAAAGCTATAGCTAGACTAACAGAAGAGATATGGGGAAAAACGACAAACCAAAATTTATGAAATCTAAAGTCGCAACGAGCGAAGAATCGAAGATCAGTCCGAGACAGCCGAGTCAATATGGAGGTTTATCATCCGGCAGCATACAGATAACAGACATTAGCGATGATCATGTTCTAACCTCGGAGTCTTCAGGGGAGAATTCAAGGACGCAGGTCCATGGACTGCCATTACATAGGGCAGTTGTGGTTGTTGCAAATGCGGCTCTTGGCGCAGGCATGTTAAACTTTCCGCAGGCATATGACAAGAGCGGTGGATTGGTGAATGCTTTGACAGTTCAGACTGTAAGTTCATGGGTATAGGCTGTTGAGCATCAGTCATTGGTGGGAAAATGGTGGGGAGGGGTTTAATTAACTGACTCTTCCACAGTTATTGAAATAGCTGCGAATATAAATTGTGCAATGATGCTTGGACGTGATCTAACTTGCACAGTGGGACAAAAATATGCCTTTGGTACCAGTATGATTCAGCATATGATTCAGTACTATTCAGAATACTCCAGATTTTTAAAATATTTGAGGGTTTCATGTATCCCATCCTGACACCATGTAATAATGTGTCTACCCAGACAGACGCCATGTTGAGTCTATCATCAACTACCTAATTGTCCCCTACATGTATATGTATCCATTATGTCATAACTACTTGATGTCAATCATCTACTTTATAAATATCACAGATGACAGTACATATATTTATCATAATTACAAAGCTTTTGATCCATAAGCCCATACAGATCTTCATCAGTGCTAATACGCTGATTGATCAGTGATGCTAATAGATAACTTAACATCTAAGACATCGACGTCATCTAGGACTGTAGGACATAAGGGCTGAGCAGAGGACTAGGATGTCATGAATCCAAAATAAATAAACATCCATTTAGGATACACAACATCGACCTTTAAATTATAGAATAATATTTACATCCTTTTGAAAATGAATTTTAAAGAGATGCATGTCTGAATACTTTCCAGTTTGTTATGCTCTTGTATCCATGATGGCAAAACTCTTGTTGTGAAGTTGTCAATGTTTGGTGGATGATGAGCAACTGAAAGAGACGCATGCACACTTCAGAAAATATTGCCAATTTACTTCAGCTTGCCATCCTAGATGTTTGGCGTCCTAGATGTTTGACGTCATAGATCTTAATTTTAGGACAATGTCCTAATCCCAGTTCTCTGCTAGAGCTGATGTTGATGTCGTAGATGCTATCTAATAGAAGTGGGGGGGGGGGGGGAGGAAAGAATGGCCTGCACGATGCAACTACCTGTAAAATAGAACAAAGATTACAAATTTAAAATTATGGTTTTGTTCCAGAACATTGGTTGAATTGTTCCAAAGCAAGCAATGGAGTAGTTTGTGTTATGCATGTTGCTATCAAAAGATTTTAACCCAGTGGTGTGCATTAGACTCTCCCCTTAACAATTAACGTCATCTGGCATAATTAGACAAAGTAATACAATAAAGTTGGGTCCATTTAAGAACATATTTGCAGCTCAATGGGTTAAGTGAAATCATTAAACATTTTTCTAGTGCCTCGTCCTACTAATAATAGGATCATTTTTCATCCTGGGTTATTGTGGAAGGCTCCGTCGGACTGCAAACTACCAGGATACAATTCGAGATTTTTGTGGACCAATTGCACAAGTTATTTGTCAAATTAATGTTGTTCTGTATATGTTTGGATGTAATGTTACGCATATGATATTGATTGGTGACCAGCTCACAAAAGGTAGTGCTAGCAAATCTTTCATTTCCTAGTTACTTTCTCAAACTCATATTATGCATTTCTGTATTAAGATGGACACCTTTCTCATACAGACATTTATCTTTAATTAAAGAAATTAATTTTCTTTTTTTGATAAATTCCTTCTCTTACAGTAATCGATCATTCAGGCTGGTATTTTGACAGGAAAATTGTAATTACTGTTGTTTGTTGTGCGTTTATCTTACCATTATGCATCCCAGAAAAACTCAAAGTGGTAAGTTATTCCAGGTAAATACAAACAATTTTAAATTTCTAATAATTTAGTAATCCATTTTGATGACTAAACAATGTGGCAAGAAGGTGGGGGCATGGGGTACGTATTTGGGCAACCCTGCCTCCTACAAAACATACCTGATGAATTATTATATCTGTAGCCTTATTGGTGGTATTGGTGCGGTGTTTGTTTGCTGTATAGTGGTGTCACGGTACTATACTGGTGGCTACTCTCCCGGTGAAGGTGCAAGGTACTGTAAGAAATGTCTTGTTCGACTGTTTGCTGTTTGTCTTTAGAAAAATATTAAATAAGTAACAGGTAAAATCATCAGAACTTTCTTATTCTATTACAGTAATAGTTCATGGTCAAGTACTCAAATTTTCGCAGCTGTGCCAGTAATTTGCTTTGGTTTTCAGGTGAGGTATTGCAATTGATAATCTTTTTAATCAATGCACTCATCACACTCTTATTTACAATATAAGAGCCTTGTTTTTAATTATGGGTATATCTATCTGCATGAACTTGGGCTAGGAAAATATATATTGTTTGACTTGTGTGATGATTTTCCTGACACAGTTGAGTCATACCGAGACAGTCGGTCATGCCTCTATGTATGGCAGTAGACTAGCTAACTATTATGAAGAGCAAGGCATAATTTAAGTTTGTATTGTAAGGCATGGTCTGTTTTCAGAACAAACCTAATTAGTACAGATTGTGCTATTATATCTAGTTTGTTTGGATAGTTTGCACAATCCATCAGACAAATGGTTGAACTATTAGACTTGACTGATAGTCTATATTCAGTATAAATAAGGCCAAAAATATAACCAAGATGTACTGTATGCACCATTTTGTGACATCATATTTGCATTGTCAAGCACAGGAGATATGGAACCATTTAACCAATGTATTAAATTTAGTGTCATGTAACGGCAGTAGCAGTATATGCAGAACTACGGCGGCCCACCTTAACAAGATTTGGTCTGGTCACTTTTCTTGCAACTCTCATATGCACCGTACTTTACTCCCTGACGGGTAGCTATGGATATCTGACATTCAAACATCACGTGAACAGTGATGTCTTGGTGAATTATCGTCATGATGATGGCGTGGCAACATCAGCAAGAGTTTTCATTGTCATTGTTGTGTTTAGTACTTTTGCAATTTGTCAGTTTGTTGGAAGGTATGTCTGGTCCAGCATTACTGAAAACAAAGGGAATAGAAACAATTCCAAACTAATGCAGTATTGTGTGAACGGTGTCTAACCAAGCAATTTGTCTGTATTCCAGATCGGCAATAATTGGTCTGTGGTTAAAAATGAGAAAGCTCACGGCAGCCCAGGTGGAAGATTACAAGAACAAACGCCGCGTGATTACGTCATTAATATGGTTCTTCAGCAGCCTGGGCATTGCAGTCATTGTTCCAAATATAGCAGAGGCTATTGCCATTGTCGGTGCGTTAGCTGCGCATTTTATTTTCACATTTCCAGGTAAGGAATTTTGTCATCTCCCTCCCCCCTGGTTTCTGTAGATTTCAGCAGGTGGCAGATGAGAATCTATGACTATCAGGGGGTACTTGTAAGAAGCTACTTCTTTAATAGCCAGTTATGGATCCAGCTAGATCTCGTAGAGGGGGACAGGGAGGGGTGCTCGTCGAGCCTTTGGTCATGGTTCAGGTTGCTACCGTTGATCAACTGTTGACTATAATTAACTGTGTAACTCACACAAAACAAGGATACAAATTCCCATACTGACAGGGTTCTTTAATTTAATCCAGGCCCAGAATTACTGACCGGAATTTGCTTGCACTATATATGAATAAACAAATCAATGAAGAAATTAATCATCTCTTGTAGGGCTTTGTCTTATTCAATTAATGTTACAAGACGGGCGTACAATGGAAGCGAAAAGAAAGATAGGCCTAACAATAGGTATTACATACGTTGTCATTGGTATGTTTTTGTTTGGTGTGACTGTCACTGCAGCGTTAATGACAGATATCGAAGGCAAATATCTTGCTTAGCAGTATTTTCATTGTTATTTTATACTTACGTATAGAAATTTCCCGCATTGGCTCGAGTGCACGTCTCCCAAAAAAAATGGGACTACACACGAAAAAATCTCGCAACTTGTCAACAAGATGTGTTCGCAACAGGCTTGTAGCAAGCTTGTCAACAAGTTGCAACAATGCTGCTATTTTATCAAGTTGCTACGAGGTTGTCGCTCGCAACTTGTTGACAAGTTGCTGAATTGCAGGACGATAACAAGTTGTTGTAACAACTTGTAACAAGTCTGTTGAACTCAACAACCTTGTAGCAAGTTGCGAACAAGTCGCTGACAACTCGTCAACAAGCTGGGAACAAGCAGTGCGAACACATCCTGTTGACAAGTTGTTGGAACAGAATTGCTACAAGTCTGCTGCAGGTTTGTTACAACTTGTGCGTTTTCACGTGTGTAGCTGTGTTCGATATACGAAACACGTGTTTATACGCCATTGCTATTCCATTCACTTACATGAGCATATATACATTGAAATTATTAAGTATTAGGCCAGGGTAAGAGTTAATTTGTTGACCCACAATTTGTGGTAGGGGTTATACCAGTGGCGAAGCTAGCCATCTAAATTAGCCATTCCGAAGTTGATGAGAGCACTGGGGACGAATGTTAAAAAGCGCCCAAGTTAAGAAATCAAAGTTTGAAGACATTTACATGAATACCCTTCGAATAATAAGCTTTCGAAAATCGCGGTATTTCAACTAATGAAATGTGCTGTAATTTTTGTTTTTTGGGACGCGCGTCTCAAAAACAATCTTTTAATCAGTAATTTCGCAATTTTCGAAAGCTTATTATTCGAAGGGTATTTATGTAAACGTCTTCAAACTTTGTGTACTTACTAATTTTGAGGTGGTCTTTTTAGTCATTTGGTTGGGCACTTTTTAACACTCGTCCCCAGTACACTCATCAACTTCGGAATGGCTAATAGGTTAAAGACAATACCTTTCTAAAGCCAGTAAAGGTTTGGATAGTGCCACTCATTAAAAATTTGCATAGTTACTATGGTTATAGGATTGCATAGTTACTATGGTTATAGGTTACTGGGCTATAGGATTAATTTTTTACGGCAACGTACCTACAATATCAGATACTTGCATCACATTTGGTTGGAAGGTGGAGTGAACGGTTTGTTCAGGGTTAAGCCTTAAGGCCCGTCCATCCAACAATCTTGGATGCAACATTGACATTGTTGACCCCGTTTGAACACTATCACTATGTTGGCTGATCTTGGATCGAGTTTATATAGTTTAAAGTGGACAAACTTGCATGTCGGACTAATTTTTGATCTTGGCAAAAAAAAGTAAATTCCCGTAAAGAACTTATTAAAATTAGTAAAATTGCAAAATTTGGTCACGAAATGTTGTAAAATACGGAAAACATAGCCTTGCGAAGTTTGCATATTTTGTATGTACAATTTACATGTATGTACATTTTTGAGTCGAAAATGGTAACAATTTCCGCACGCAATACAAACATGCATACATATACAGAATTTGAAAACTTTGCAAGGCTATATTTTCCACGTTTTACAACATTTCGCAACCAAATTTTGCAATTTTACTAATTTCATTATGTTCTTTTTAGCTGTGGTGTTTGATTCCCTACTCTTGACTTAGATTAAAATTTAGTCTAACATGCAAGTTGTCCATTATCATCCAACATCGTCCAACACACTATTAAACCAGCACTGTACTCGTTTGAGTGGGGCTTTAAATCGAATGAATAAAATTCACCAATACAGTAATTTAGTAACTTTATTAGAATTAATTTTTTGAATTAAATTAGAATTGTAACAATATAACGAAATTATATATTTATACGAGAAAAACGAATGACACTACTGAATAAAAACTGTATAGTATATACAAATATTTAAAATTTACGTGACAACTTTGCGCATGATTTGTTGGGATTGATTAAGCGTAGCAGCAGATGGAGGCAGATGGTGGTCAATTTCAGAAAAGTTGACACATCGTAGGAGCAATCAAATATTCAAATTTCAACTACGTCACAGACACAGTAGGAATTTTGCGTAGATAAAGTTTTTGAAGCATTTGCAAGAAATGTTTGGAGGAATAGACAATTCCCAGTACAGACTAATTTTAAAACTAGGCAAGGAAATGCAAATAAATCATCACAGCCAGAAAGAGCATACTAAAATTAGTAAAATTGCAAAGTCTGGTTGCGAAATGTTGTAAAATGCGGAAAATATAATAGCCTTGCAAAGTTTGCAAATTTTGTATATTTTTGTATTGCGTGCGGAAATTGCTACCACATTTGGGCCCAAATGTGGCCGGGAATGTGGTAGCAATTTCCGCACGCAATACAAAAGTATACAAAATTTGCAAACTTTGCAAGGCTATATTTTCCGCATTTTACAACATTTCGCAACCAAACTTTACAATTTTACCATGCTCTTTCTAGCTGTGGTGATTTATTTGCATCTCCTTGCCTAGTTTTAAAATTAGTCTATAATGGGAATTGTCTATTGACTTAGACTTAGTGTTAAGCACTGAGACAGTTCCCTCAAATATTTCCATTCAACAAAAATTTTCACGGACAGAAAATGTTCCGAAATATCATTGTTAAAAGTTGAAAATTTTCAACTTCAAAATTTTTTTCCGACGGAAAATTTGTGTCGGCCAATCACATTTTACAAAATTTTCTTTCCGCGGAAATTTTTCCTGAGTGGAAATGGGCCTTTATAAATTCTTCAAAAGTTAGAATTTACCTATGCAAAATTCCTACTGTAATCACAGAAACTTTGATAGTGACATTTGAACACAATTAACATCATTCTCTCACTTTGATACAACTGTTGGTTGGCCACCCCCTGCTGCACGAGTTAAACCCACCTATATAGGGTAAAATTAAATCAAATTAATAAAGTATATCGCATTGGATGAGGACTGTTTATGTACTAGATAAAATATGCCAGGTTGTGATTGATAGTAAATGATTATTTACAAGACTCGTATGCGTTGTCTATTAATTTGACTTCACTACACTATGTTTGTTGCGTTGTTCTTACTGATAACCACCGGAGCGAGGCTGATGGTGTAACTAAAAATGAAATGGTAAGAGAACGTTATATACTGTCAATGTTACAATAGAGAGATTCAGATTTGACTTTCCCGCTACCTCTCACAGGCATAACACGCATTTGAGTGGTTAATCGGGTAGAATAAATGGGTCTGATTGGTTAATGATAACAGTAGTGGATCTCAAAAATCTGAATCTTCTCAAATATCGCATTCTCACGCATAAGCATACTGGGATGATGCTTTTTGCCCGAATTTTTATAAAGGATTGTAATGAAATAACCTGAATTTAATTTCCAAAGTTTTCTTTTTTGAGGGGGACGCCTATGTTATCACTTTTGGCTGTATGAAAATTACGTACGTGTATTTGTCTTCTATTGAGATCCATTGCAGCACCTCCGTGTTTTCTCGCTATAAAAAGAGAAATCATAACGATAAGTCGATAACACTTGTAGAGACGGTGAGTGCATACTACTTATGGAAAGCATCGGATTTCAGATCTATAGGCATTTGAAAAACTAACCTTGATGTTGTGAATTATTTTGAGATGCGTGCTGACTACTTGACCAGGACATCTGTTGGCTGTAACGACAATTTGCATCACCATGTATACAAGTAATAGGATGTTTAGGTTGAAAATAGTTACCTAAAACTGAAACTATTCAGGTCTTGCAGTATGACGTACCATCAAAAATAATCCGCCATTTTGGGTGGCAAAAGTCTTTCATTCAACCAACTACTACAAGGCATCAACTATTTCGCTGACCTCAGAATGACATTTCGTCAAATTTTTTTTCTTCAAGATTGGTTTAGAAACAAATTTGGAGTAGGGTTAGGTTAGGGTAAGGATTAGGCAGTAGAGTTGGTGTTTGGAGCAGGGTTAGTGTTAGTAAAACCGTTGCTTTGTTTCGTCACTCTGAGGCCAGCGAAATGATCTCTTCCCTACTACACAGCTGTGGAGCATTATTACTCTTCAAATTGCTCAAGTCTTGCTTTGACGCCATGTTTGCTTTTAATTCACTATTTTTCATTTGCCACCCAAAATGGCGGAAGTCAACAAGTACGCGTTGCGACGTGGTAGAGGTGATTTCGCTGGCCTCAGAGTGACAAAACGTCACAAAGCAACAGTTTTACCAACACTAGCCCTATTCCAAACACCAACTCTAATCTAACCCTACTCCATGTTTGTTTCTAAACCAATCTTGAAGAAAAAAATTTTGACGAAATGTCATTCTGAGGTCAGCGAAATAACTTCTTCCTTGTGACGTCACCGTATCATCCCTTGTTAGTCCAGTGTTAATATAGCAGGGAACCAGAATACCCTGAGAAAATCTGCAGTGTTTAGTGACTTTAGTCATTTAGAAGAGTCAAGCTGGAAGCACTCATCTCGCATGCGACCGAAGTAGCTGGAATTACAATACAGTTCATACCTGGCTTGTGAGTTATGGGACTCTCGTGACGGTGTTCTCATTGTAGTAGGAGTTTTGGAAGATTCATGTCCAGCTCCAGGCGTGTTTCCAGCCCTGGAAATGAAAAATAATCGGTTAGTGGTAATTCTGATCAGGCAGTAGCGAAAGCACCTATTTGTAAGTAACCTCAAGAGATTCGCCACGATTCCAGGGGTAGATCGTTGTCTTCCAGAAGGTGACGTACCTAATGGAAAAAATGTATAGAGTTATGACAATATAATACTTTAGTTTGTGGAAACACCACGTAAATTTATTACTGCAAAGCTTTCGATCCGTAAGCCTGGATCTTCATCAGTGCTAGTAATATGTCCAATGACATATTAGCACTGATGAAGATCCGGGCTTACGGATCGAAAGCTTTGCAGTAATAAATGTGCGCGGTGTTTCCACAAACTATGTTCAAAGTTTATTCAAAAGTTAAATTTGGTACATATTTACCTATTCTTCCTATCATTCCGTTTGATGGAGGTGTACGAACTGTCAGTCGAATTGGCCCCGCCGGTGTCTTGGGAGTCTAGTGGAAAGAATTTTCTCAAACTCATTAATAATTCATGCGTAAATTAGTCAGCCATATTGCTTTATTTTGCTCACATGATAATACTGGTTACCTGGTGAAGTATACTCATCCAGTCCTAGGATTGGATCAAAATTAATTCAGTCCTTCAGACTGGATCAAATGTGACCATTTGCATTATAGACTAAATTTTGATCTAGACAAAAATTTCATCACAGCTTGAAAGAGCATCACAAAATTAGTAACATTCCAAAGTTTCGTTGCGAAATGTTGTAAAATGCGGATAATATAGCCTTGTGAAATTTGCAATTTTCAGTCATTTTGTATTACAAACGGGAAATTGATGCCTCAACACCCGATTGGGCTGTCAATTTCCCGTGCGTAATACAAAATGACTGAAAAACGGCAAACTTCACAAGGCTATATTATCCACATTTTACAACATTTCGCAACGAAACTTTGGAATATTACTAATTTTGTGATGCTCTTTCAAGCTGTGAAAATTTTTGTCTAGATCAAAATTTAGTCTATAATGCAAATGGTCCATTAATTCACCTCACAGGCTCACTTTAAATAGTCAATGAACACGAAAATTTTTGCATAGCGGGACTAAATCGTCGGGCTGGTTACGCTACTGTTAATGTGAAAGCTATCAACTTATATACAGCAATCACTTACATCACGTTGCGAGCCTTTCATTGCGTTTATCATTTGTGGCCTATAAAAAGTTTTAATGAGAAGAACTTTAATACGTCACTTTTGGCTATGGGCCTCGTTTTCGTGTACGCGACATTAGTAAGAAGAACGTGTCAATCACGGAAACGAGGCTCTATGGCGAAGATGACGTACTTTCCCAAAGCGGGCATTCGACGAAACATTGGTACTCGGTTACTCACGTGACTGGAGCGGATCTTGAATAAGGAGATACTTGACCATGAGGGGTGGTGTTATTGTAATGACCTGTTAGAATACGAAATATAAGTCTACCTCTACACCACATAAAAATCTCACAGTTTATCAACAAGATGTGGTTGGAACAAGTTGTTATCATCTTGTAACAAGATTGATGAGTCCTGTCCAACACTCAACAGACTCTCAACAAGTTGTTCCAACATGTATGATATCGTCTGCACGTAACAACAAGCTCGTTGGTAGCCTGTATTAATAGTCTTGTTGGAACAACTTGAAGCAAGTCTGTTACCGTCATCAATCTAGCAACAAGGTGATAACTTGTTTCAGACTAAGTTTAAAGATAAAGAGCAGAGCCCAGCAATGCCACTGTCTCAGACTTGTCAAAACAACTGGGAACAAGTAGTGCGAACACATCCTGATAAGGGCTTGACAACAATCTTGCTACAACTTGTACGTTTTTACGTGGGTAGACTCAACTGGTTGGCGGTGATCGTGACTTCGGTTTTACCTCTTTGACGTACTGATTGCGAATTTTGTCCAGGTGACACTCCCCTCATACTGTGAGGTGTCCCTTGCCTACCAATAAAAAACGAAATTCTATACCTTACAGCAAGCAGCTTGTATACAGTACACAGTCAGTTACATATAGACGAAATTTTGATCTAGGCAAGAAGAACGAAATCCATTACCATAGCTGGAAAGAGCATTAAATCTCGTGGAATTCAAATTTATAGATGGCATGATTACCTTGATGAACTGCCTCTATTTTTCGGATCACTGTTCTGAGACTGGAAAAAAGAAAAATAGTTGTGGATTGTGGTAGCAAAAACTACGGCGTGGGGATATTTGAGGTACGTTGATAAATATTGAAGAATCTATACAAACCGATACACCCAGTATTTTCTTCATCGCGTTATTCTCTTCAAGAAGCTTTCTCATTTCCCTACAAAAATACATAATTATAGCTCCTACTCATGATCGTAAGTTGTACATGTCCACGAACTCGTTTTCTATACCTTTCCATTTCCTGACATTTTCGACTACTTTGACTGGGATCCGCTGAAGTGGCACCCATCTAAATCATATCAAACACTAGTGTTAATTGTAGTAGATATACTACTTTAAAATCACCATAGACAGAAACAGAAAATTGTTGACCTTTTGGTAATGAGCTGCAAGACGTTTTCTGTGTGATTTTTGAAATTCTAAGACCTACAAATGGATAAACATTTATCATTTCCGAATGTTCCGAATCCAATCTCCACGTTGATATTGTGATTTATAACAGGAAACACGGTTACATATATGAAAATACCTGGAAATATGGTTTAAGTTGTTTCTTCAGTAAATCCGCGGGATCCATAAAATACATCTCGACATCGGGTTTTAGCTTTAGGTTGAAAAAGGTAAAGTTCATATTAATAAATGTAGATTTCTAGTTCCATAACACATGCATCTCAAAAACGTCAAGGCCTCTAGATACAGTTCTAATGCGATATTTTCCTTTGTACTTTTTAAATATATCACAGAATCGTATGAATACAAATTGTCCAGACTTCAGATCGTTCGCTGCGAAAAACCGGGTAGAGAAGCAGTGAGGCACCAACTTTATGTGTTTTTAAAAAGACTTACATTCGAGGTCAAAGGGATAACACTGCATGACGATTTACACACAACACATTTCTGGGCTGTGCTTGCTATTAAAAACAGAAAATCATTTGAAAATGTCCAATTCAAATACAAAGTTATGAACTGTGTTACCCAGAAAACGTACCTTGGATGCAATCTTGACAAAATACATGACCGCAGCTTGTCAAAAAGAATTTCTTACTGCTGCTTCCAGGTTGTACAAAACATGAATTGCAGTGAACCCAATCCATATATCACGAAAACAGATTTAGCAACTTTAATTTTAATGCGTTTTTCTTCGCTTTGTTGCGATAAACAGTTTATTTTATCGTTCTAAAGTAGTTTTTGTAAGCACATATAAAGCTAAAACATTGTTTCATGTCTTCATTTTCAACAACGTATTTGTTTTTTAGTGTTTTTCAATCTTTTTCATTTATCGCAGTCGACTTCGGCCATTTTGAAAAAAATTTGAAAATAGGCGGGAAAATAAATTTTTGGAAAATAGTGAAAAAGTACCACTCATTCCAGAATAGTATACAGGTCAGTGAGCTTCGGACATTAAAAATGCCATAAATTTATATTTTTTTAAAAAATGAAAAAGAAATAAAGTTTTATATTTAGTTGATTTTTACAGTCTTTACAATGAATATTATATCAAGTAAATTTGATACATGCACACTTGCCATAAGCAACAGGAATTATTATTATTTTATAGCTTTATATTAAAATATTGTCAACACTTTGCTATCTATCTGTTCCATAGTCTTCTCGATTGTCCTGCAAGTACACTTTGCCAGTTTCTGAGTCCACAACTTTTGGTCCTTTTTCTAAAATTTCTGAGATACGAAATCTTTTCTTTTTACTCATCTTTGGACAGACTTCAATCATAACCATATCACCTGTCGTACATTCATTATTTTCGTCATGTGCAAAGTACACTTTTCTGTTGTTATAATACTACAAAATAAAATGGATACATTACTGTAATTCAGTTGAGACATTAATGAATGATAAATTTACCAATTAAATATGTTTGTGTCTTTTGCCAACCAATTCACATTTTTACATAACTCACATGTCTAGTTAACCCACTGAGTGGCAGTACACTCCCCTTGACGAGTAAAAAATATATGTGTTAGACAAAGTGAAATAATAAAGTAGGGTGCATCATGTATAGCACATTGCCACTTAAATGGTAATATAGACTGTATCAGCTATATAAACCCTTCAACCTATATGAAAAACTAAAGCTCTACGTTACCTTCATGATATAAGGGTGTAACTTTAATTTTGTCACTAAAACTTTGGCTGTTTTGTCCATTTTGGTACCAATTACTCTACCCAAAAACTGCGCCATCTTGGATAATTGAAAACGTTACACTAAAGGTTAGATGAAGTATGAAGTGCGATTTTTAAAAATACCGCGGTATTTCAAAAATTCCAGAATTCCTTGGAGCGAGATATCAAATTCCCCAGTTTTCCCCAAAATTCCCTCTTGTATTAAATTGAAAAATATTCAATATCTTGGTCCTAAAAAGCCGGTTTCTCCGCTTTAAATGCATTTAAGATATCTAGGTATCTGACCGTATTAGAATATCTTAAATCAAAAAGATATCAAATCCTGAAAAGTATAAAAAACTTTGCCAGAATTCCTTTTTTTCAGGATAAATAGAACAGCCCGTATTTTGGTACAGATTCCTCAGAACGATTTTGACATTACTACGTATAATCAGTATTGACATTTGGAGGGGCAGTGTTTTGTTATTTTTTGTCTTTTTGAATACAAATCGAAACTAAAATGGCACAGCCTTATGCGTCCGCACCACCTATGCCTGCACCGACAAATCCAACAAGTTTAATCACAAAAGTTCAACTGTCTATTTCATGTAATGGCTTGGTTGATAAAGATGTGCTTTCAAAATCGGACCCTATGGCAGTCGTGTGTATTTTTTCTGGCAATCAATGGGTTGAGGTGAGATATTTGTTTTATTTATTTATGATGCATCCGTTTGTTTATGGTTTTAATATAAATAATCGTATTAGCAAACAGTAAATCTGTTTACAAATTATTATACTTGAAATTTAACAAGGATTAAATTGAATACGTCAGCCAATACTTGTATTGCATGACAAACAGCATGTTGCCATATAGGCGTATGAAAATTGAAAAATTTTACATGTTATATATTATAGCTATAAACAAATATACATTCACCAAAAAAAATTATAAGACAAAGTTATATGATGTATATTAAAGGGGAAGTCAAGTCCGTAATGTAAACAAATGGTTTGTTTACATTTTGAACTGCTCTATTTTTTAAAATATGATGTACTTTCTGAATATCTAACACCATTTTGGTTCGCTATGCTTCTAAATGAATATGAAATAGAGTTTATGTTCAGAAAAATTCGAAACATTCGAAATTTGGGCAATGTTCACATTAGAGGTCCTCTCATTGTTATGAGCAGAACCGATGCGCAGAACGGACTTGACTTCCCCTTTAATTAACAATTATTCACCGAAGGCGAGGTGATTATCGGTGAATAAAAACCGAGACGAAGTCGAGGTTTTTATTCACGATAATCACCGAGCCTGAGGTGAATAATTGTTTTAGTATAATTTCATGGGTGATTATTTGGAAAAAAATTTAAAAATGCACATTTCTTCGTCTTTTAATTGACAAAACGGCTTCGGCCGCCATTTTGAAAATCGCTTAGGTGATTATCGCGTAATAATCACCTCAACGGTAACCAATCAGCGTGGAGAATTTTCAATAATCACCTATGTAATTATACTAACCACTGATATTAACTGATTAAACTGCAATGTGCTCTAATGCACACTTGTTTTACTATATATGTCTAATTTCAGACATGATTTTTAATATTCGTGGAAAGTTTGGTATTTTTAAATGGGTTAAACACAGAAAAAAGCTGATATACGGAGTTCAGTGGCAACTGATTTTAATATATAGACATTACGAAGCCTCTTGTGTGGAAAGCACCAACAGCTGCCGCAGGAGAACTGTCGCAATAACAGAAATGTATTAGTAATTAGTATTACAAAATAGCTAGCCTGCCGCAGGAGATCTCGGGCTAAAGTGGCCTACTTTCCAGTGGGACGAAGCCGGACCAGTTTAGAATCATTGAAGCAATAATTTATGTGATAATTAAGGAATGCCCACATTGGAGTAGTAATTAAGTGGACCCCTCCCCCAGCACTCAGATTTTTCCAAATATGTGATAAGGAATTATCATATTGGAGAAGTAATTAAGAACGCTTTGTTGCTTGTTTCTATCACATATGTATGTGACCATACATATTTGTGACCAAGCATTTATCGAAATTGACATATTATTTTTTATAGGTTGGTAGAACAGAGCAGATTAAAGACAACCTGAACCCAAATTTTGCACAATCTGTCACAGTTGACTATCATTTTGAAGAATTGCAGAAATTAAAATTTTCAGTTTACGACATTGATGATCCCAAAGCAGACTTAAGAAAAGCAGACTTTTTAGGAGAACTGGAATGCACTCTTGGTCAGGTACTTTGAGGAATGTGTTGTTAATAATTACTGTACATGCATAGTTGGCTAACATATATTAATCTCTCTTCTAAAGCATTTGCATTCTTTAACCTTGTTTTGGTACTGAGTTTGAATATTCAAATAAAAGAGCAGTTGGAGGAGAATTTGATTTAAAATATAAAATTTAATGGTGTTAATAATATTGTTCATATCATGCCCATTTTTTTAATTAATAACAACTTACATTCTTTAATGATCACATCCATTTTCTGATGACCACACCCATTTTAGACCACGCCCCTTTTCCATTTCTAATAACCACACCCACTCTTTAATGACAACCCCATTTTATAATAACCACACCCATTTTTTTAGTCGCCATACCCATTCTCTATTGACCACGCCCATTTTCTAATAATAACACCCATTTTCTAATACCACTCCTCTCAACAACACTAATTCTCTAAAGACCATGCCCATTTTGAGTGACCATACCAATTTTCTAATGAACACACCCATTCTCATGGCCACACTTTAGCCAATATGGAAAAGAAAATTAGAGGTGTTATTGACTTTATAATGACTTTATATTGAACTATATAGTCAGATAAATCTTCCATACAATGAAAAATTGCTCAAAAAAATTAAACTTTTTTAAACTTTTCTTTAAGCTTGTGAGTTCCCAGAAATATTCCAAACCTCTACAATTACCTGGAACAGGAAATGCAGGAACAATATCAGTAAGCCATAGCATTTGCTGTAACCTTTATACAAATTCGTTGATAACTCTACCTAGTTGCTAAATAGTGACTAAAAAAAGAGCTGTTTATGAATTATCTACGATGGATTTTGTATATTTCAGATAACAGCAGAAGAACTGGCCACAAATCATGACTTGGTTGATTTTACATTCAGAGCAAGCAAACTAGATAAAAAGGTTCAGTAAAGTCAGAAACTTAATTTGCATTCAATTTTTCCTTGCATGTAAGGCAATTTTTGTTGGGTAAAGAATAACATTAGGGTTTGCGCAACTGTGGAAAGCAATTGACCATTTGCGTAATAGACTAAATTTTGATATAGACAAATATTTCATCACAGCTTGAAAGAGCATCTGGATTCACAAAATTAGTAATATTCCAAAGTTTCGTTGTGAAATGTTGTAAAATGCGGATAATATAGCCTTGCGAAGTTTGCAATTTTCAGTCATTTTAGATTACAAACGGGAAATTGACAGCCCGATACGCTTTGAGGCTGTCAATTTCCCGATTGTAATCTAAAATGACTGAAAATTGCAAACTTCGCAAGGCTATATTATCCGCATTTTACAACATTTTGCAACGAAACTTTGGAATATTACTAATTTTGTGATGCTCTTTCAAGCTGTGATGAAATTTTTGTCTAGACTTGTTTAGATCAAAATTTTGTCTATTACGCAAATGGTCAATTGCTGTTGTGTATTTTTATGCAATTTATTTATTTACCCTTAAGGACTTTTTTGGTAAATCTGATCCTTATCTGGAATTTTCAAGAGCAAAAGAAGATGGCAGTTTTGTTGTGTTCCACAGAACAGAGGTGACTTACTATATATGAATGATTAATACTTGATGGTAAATGAGCCTAGAGGCCAATTCTATAACACGGGAATTTTTTTCGTTGGAAATAGTATGGAAATCCACTTTTCATACAAATGGCAGTTTCCATACTACGGATATATTATAGAAATAGTATGGATATAGACCTGTTGCACTGACGTCACAAATCCTTAGAGTGTCCTCCAGATGCTCCCAATACAATAGAGAGTTTGAGCAAGACAACGAAGTCGAACGACGACGACGTGGTTGACAATTTTTGCCTGTCTTGCACATTACTTTGTGCATTCTGAGTTTAGGGTCAGGAGTGAAGACAGATTAGAGATTCATGTCTAGCTGTTTGTGAATGCTGACCCAAATCCTTACCCTGATCAGGATAAAACAGCGAGACATGAATCCATATCCCGTCTTCGTCTTCTGCCTTCGTTCACAACGAATATTTTGGCAAAATTCGTTGTGAACTTCGTTCTGCACGAAGGCAGAAGAACAATGACGGGATATAGTTTCATGTCTCGCTGTTTTTTTCTGGATCAGGGCAAGAATTATGGTCAGTATTCATAAACAGCGACACATGGGAAGACACGTTGTGCAACCACCAGTGACGTCCAACTCAGTATGCGCAAGATAACGTACAGACGGCAAAAATTGTCAAGTATGCCTTCGTCTTCGTACTTCGTTGTCTTGCTCAAACTCTCTATTATCTGTTTGGGTACAACAACCACAAACAGTGCAAAAATTAACCATTTTAATACAAAATTATTATAAAGTTTTACATAATTTGCTTTGTTTACAGAAGTTATATTATGCATAGATTGCTAATTTGTCCTCCACACGCATCGTCACCGGCGCTGTGACGTCATGTGCAATAGGTCTATACCATTGAACTATAAATAAACTGGAAGGCTAACTGCTATGATGAAGGCCTATGATTTGATGAAGCCAAAATAGTTTTTCTGAGTTATGAGCAGAATTACTTGACCCCAAACGTCCAGCTATATATCAAATTGAAGCTATTGAAAATTGCTATTCGGTGTGGAAATTTCAAGACTTCAGCGAAAAGAAAAATATTTAAAAAATACAAAAACAACTGCAAAACGGCAAATTATCGGTAATTATGTTTGTAATTTTTCAATATTTCCCTTTTAGCTAAAGTCTTGAAATTTCTACACCAAATAGCGTTTTTCAATAGCTTCAATTTGATATATAGCCGAACGTTCAGTGTTGAGTATTTCTGCTCATAACTCAGAAAAACTAA